CGGTTTTTCATTCTTGAATATGGTAGATGTTGTTGGCGACTTTCTGTCCTATAGACTATGTTATCGCATTCAACATCACTGCACATTAAGCATTTAGGCATTTCCACACTTGCACAGTCCTCATATGTAGCAGCTTCTCCAAGATACCTCTGTTAATTGTTCCCATATGGAGTTGGTTATAATGTCTCCGATCTCAGCCCCAAAGGGGGAATAACGATAATGATGGATAACGAAGTTAACATTTTCAAGGTGAATTCAAAGATAATAAGAATAAGTGAAATATTTCCCAGTTGTCGAAGGGTTTGTTCATTCAGTTGTTTCTATGGGTGAAGAAATATTTCCTAGCTGATTAACTAAAAGACGTTAGGGGAAGTTTTTCTGAATGTTTACCAATTGCTGGACGGTGACGGATGCGATGGAACATTTTCTTGAATGATTCCAGTTGTTGGACTGCAGAAGATATGACGGCATATTTATACAAATATTTCCCATTTGTTGGACTCACAGATGCAAGAAAAGTTTACTCAAATGTCTCCCAATTATTGGACTGTGGTGAATGTAACAAGTTTACTCACATCTCCCAACTGTTGGACTGTGACAGATTCAACAAGTTTACTCACGTCTCCCAACTGTTGGACTGTGACAGATTCAACAAGCTTACTCACATCTCCCAACTGTTGGACTGTGACAGATTCAACAAGTTTACTCACATCTCCCAACTGTTGGACTGTGACAGATTCAACAAGTTTACTCACATCTCCCAACTGTTGGACTGTGACAGATTCAACAAGTTTACTCAAATGTCTCCCAACTGTTGGACTGTGACAGATTCAACAAGTTTACTCAAATGTCTCCCAACTGTTGGACTGTGACAGATTCAACAAGTTTACTCAAATGTCTCCCAACTGTTGGACTGTGACAGATTCAACAAGCTTCTCACACAACTGTTGGACTGTGGACAGATTACTCACAATCTCCCAACTGTTGGACTGTGATTCACAGATTCACAACAAGACTGTTACTCAACAAGTTTACTCACATCTCCCAACTGTTGGACTGTGACAGATTCAACAAGCTTACTCACATCTCTCCCAACTGTTGGACGTGACAGATCAACAAGTTCTCTCCCAACTGTTGGACTGTGACAGATTCAACAAGCTTTACATCTCCCAACTGTTGGACTGTCTCAAGCTTACCACATCTGTTGGACTGTGACAGATTCAACAAGTTTACTCAAATGTCTCCCAACTGTTGGACTGTGACAGATTCAACAAGTTTACTCACATCTCCCAACTGTTGGACTGTCACAGATTCAACAAGCTTACTCACATCTCCCAATCTCCCAACTGTTGGACTGTCACAGATTCAACAAGCTTTCTCACATCTCCCAACTGTTGGACTGTGACAGATTCAACAAGCTTACTCACATCTCCCAACTGTTGGACTGTGACAGATTCAACAAGCTTACTCACATCTCCCAACTGTTGGACTGTGACAGATTCAACAAGTTTACTCACATCTCCCAACTGTTGGACTGTGACAGATTCAAACAAGCTTACTACTCACATCTCCCAACTGTTGGACTGTGACAGATTCAACAAGCTTTACTCACATCTCCCAACTGTTGGACTGTCACAGATTCAACAAGTTACTCACATGTCCCAACTGTTGGACTGTGACAGATTCAACAAGCTTACTCACATCTCCCAACTGTTGGACTGTGACAGTCAACAAGTTTACTCACATCTCCCAACTGTTGGACTGTACAGATTCAACAGCCTTACTCACATCTCCAACTGTTGGACTGTGACAGATTCAACAAGTTACTCTCCATCTCCCAACTGTTGGACTGTGACAGATTCAACAAGTTTACTCAGATGTCTCCCAACTGTTGGACTGTGACAGATTCAACAAGTTTACTCACATCTCCCAACTGTTGGACTGTGACAGATTCAACAAGCTTACTCACATCTCCCAATCTCCCAACTGTTGGACTGTGACAGATTCAACAAGCTTACTCACATCTCCCAACTGTTGGACTGTGACAGATTCAACAAGCTTACTCACATCTCCCAACTGTTGGACTGTGACAGATTCAACAAGTTTTACTTCCCAAACTGGACTGTGGACAGATTCAACAAGTTTACTCACATCTCCCAACTGTTGGACTGTGACAGATTCAACAAGACTTACTCACATCTCCCAACTGTTGGACTGTGACAGATTCAACAAGCTTACTCACCATCTCCCAACTGTTGGACTGTGACAGATTCAACAAGCTTTACTCACATCTCCCAACTGTTGGACTGTGACAGATTCAACAAGCTTACTCACATCTCCCAACTGTTGGACTGTGACAGAGCTTTCAACAAGTTTACTCAATCCCAATCTCCCAACTGTTGGACTGTGACAGATTCAACAAGTTTACTCACATCTCCAAACTGTTGGACTGTGACAGATTCACAAGTTTACTCACATCTCTCCCAACTGTTGGACTGTGACAGATTCAACAAGTTTACTCACATCTCCCAACTGTTGGACTGTGACAGATCAACAAGCTTACTCACAAGCTCCCAACTGTTACTGTCACATCTACTCACATCTCCCAACTGTTGGACTGTGACAGATTCAACAAGCTTACTCTCTCTCACATCAACAAGCTTACTCACTCCCAACTGTTGGACTGTGACAGATTCAACAAGCTTACTCACATCTCCCAACTGTTGGACTGTGACAGATTCAACAAGTTACATCACATCTGGACTGTTGGACTGTGACAGATTCACAAGCTTACTCACATCTCCCAACTGTTGGACTGTGACAGATTCAACAAGCTTACTCACATCTCCCCAACTGTTGGACTGTGACAGATTCAACAAGCTTACTCACATCAGATTCAACAAGCTTACTCCACATCCCAACTGTTGGACTGTGACAGATTCAACAAGCTTACTCACATCTCCCAACTGTTGGACTGTGACAGATTCAACAAGCTTACTCACATCTCCCAACTGTTGGACTGTGACAGATTCAACAAGCTTACTCACATCTCCCAACTGTTGGACTGTGACAGATTCAACAAGCTTACTCACATCTCCCAACTGTTGGACTGTGACAGATTCAACAAGCTTACTCACATCTCCCAACTGTTGGACTGTGACAGATTCAACAAGTTTACTCACATTACTCTGTGACAGATTCAAACATCTCCCAACTGTTGGACTGTGACAGATTCAACAAGTTTACTCAGACATCTCCCATCTCTCCCAACTGTTGGACTGTGACAGATTCAACAAGCTTACTCACATCTCCCAACTGTTGGACTGTGACAGATTCAACAAGTTTACTCAGATGTCTCCCAACTGTTGGACTGTGACAGATTCAACAAGTTTACTCACATCTCCCAACTGTTGGACTGTGACAGATTCAACAAGCTTACTCACATCTCCCAACTGTTGGACTGTGACAGATTCAACAAGTTTACTCACATCTCCCAACTGTTGGACTGTGACAGATTCAACAAGTTTACTCAAATGTCTCCCAACTGTTGGACTGTGACAGATTCAACAAGTTTACTCACATCTCCCAATCTCCCAACTGTTGGACTGTGACAGATTGAACAAGTTTACTCAAATGTCTCCCAACTGTTGGACTGTGACAGATTCAACAAGCTTACTCACATCTCCCAACTGTTGGACTGTGACAGATTCAACAAGTTTACTCAGATGTCTCCCAACTGTTGGACTGTGACAGATTCAACAAGTTTACTCACATCTCCCAACTGTTGGACTGTCACAGATTCAACAAGCTTACTCACATCTCCCAACTGTTGGACTGTGACAGATTCAACAAGTTTACTCACATCTCCCAACTGTTGGACTGTGACAGATTCAACAAGCTTACTCACATCTCCCAATCTCCCAACTGTTGGACTGTGACAGATTCAACAAGTTTACTCACATCTCCCAACTGTTGGACTGTGACAGATTCAACAAGCTTACTCACATCTCCCAACTGTTGGACTGTGACAGATTCAACAAGCTTACTCACATCTCCCAACTGTTGGACTGTGACAGATTCAACAAGTTTACTCACATCTCCAACTGTTGGACTGTGACAGATTCAAAACAAGTTTTACTCACACATCTCCCAACTGTTGGACTGTGACAGATTCAACAAGTTTACTCACATCTCTCCAACTGTTGGACTGTGACAGATTCAACAAGTTTTATCTCCAACTGTTGGTCTGTACAGATTCAACAACTACTCACATCTCCCAACTATTGGACTGTGACAGATTCAACAAGTTTACTCAAATGTCTCCCAACCGTTGGACTGTCACAGATTCAACAAGCTTACTCACATCTCCCAACTGTTGGACTGTGACAGATTCAACAAGTTTACTCAAATGTCTCCCAACTGTTGGACTGTCACAGATTCAACAAGTTTACTCACATCTCCCAACTGTTGGACTGTGACAGATTCAACAAGTTTACTCAAATGTCTCCCAACTGTTGGACTGTGACAGATTCAACAAGTTTACTCAAATGTCTCCCAACTGTTGGACTGTGTCAGATTCAACAAGTTTACTCACATCTCCCAACTGTTTGACTGTGACGGATGCAACAAGTTTACTCAAATGTCTCCCAACTGTTGGACTGATAGATGTAACAAGTTTACTCAAATGTCTCCCAACTGTTGGACTGATAGATGTAACAAGTTTACTCAAATGTCTCCCAACTGTTGGACTGATAGATGTAACAGGTTTACTCAAATGTCTCCCAACTGTTGGACTGATAGATGTAACAAGTTTACTCAAATGTCTCCCAACTGTTGGACTGATAGATGTAACAAGTTTACTCAAATGTCTCCCAACTGTTGGACTGTTGTGGATGTAACAATTTTACTCAAATGTCTTATAACTGTTTGACTGTGACGGATGCAACAAGTTTACTCAAATATCTACCAACTGTTTGACTGTGACAAATGTAATGACAACTTTACTCAAAAGTTTCCCAACTCGACTGTTTCAGATCTCCACTGATCAATTCATGTTGTGGCTCTGGGGATGTGACTTGCCTGCTACCAAAGTCAATGTCCAAGAGGTCACTGAAGAAGTCTGGTTTATTCTGCACATGAGTCTCTGATGAGAATGACATGGAGGACATCTTGTTGCTCCCGCTGGATGGTCCAGTGGTTGAATGCTGAGCTGAACTTGAAGGGGAGTTGAGAGAGGAAGTAGAGGTAGCAGCATGAAGGGTTCCTGAACTCTGAAGTGTCATGGGAGATGTTGGGCGAGTATAAGGAGCTAAACTTGCAGGTGAGAGATGCCGAGGAGGGGGGAGAATGGAGCTGGAGGGTCGAAAGGGTTGCCGCAGTTGACTAGTCTTGTGGAAATCTGAGACTTTATGACCTATGTATGAACCCAGATAGGGAGTCTGGCCTAGATTATGCAAGTTCCCTGCTTTAGAGGGAGAAGACAATGCAGATGGGGTTTGAAAGCGACCAAGTATAAAAGGGTTGTTTGGATAGCTCGTTTTTAGTGGCTGTGTTGCTCTAGGCATGGACATATGGCTTCTAGACAAAGAAGACAGAGACCACTCATGCATCAGAAGGTCTGAGCTATCCCTACGGCTGGACAAAGGGTCACTACGAACAAACTGGCCAGTTTTTCCAGAAGACACCGCTTTTGACATCTGAGCAGAGTCAGAAAATGACAAATCAGCCAAATCCGAGAGAGGATCAAATAGATCCTGGGCCGAACCCTCCCTGGACATGCTCTTGTCTGCAGCCGATCCTAAAGATTGATCCACTGTGCTTCCAGGCCACTCACTGCCACTGGGTGTTCTAGGTCGTTCCGCTGAAGACTTAGTTACCAGTGGATCAAAATTTTCAGAATCTGTCGGCTCCGATTCTGATGAGTCAAACTTGATTAGAGGAGCATCTTGCACTGAGGCTGTCCTGTAGGGAGCTTCCTCTTGTGAACTTTGACCAGAGTTTGTTGAAGGTCTGTTCTTGGTGTTTGAACCAGAAGGTTTGACCTTTCTCTTTCTGGGAGCTGCAACAGGCTCTGGGGAGACTCCTGAAGCTGGTCTTGTCAGGATCAGCTTGTCACCTACAATGAACAGAAAATTCAATTGATAAAGAAACAAACATGAATGGATAAAGTTTAACTCATTCAGCCCCTGATATATGTTTTTTGTAATCTTCATTTGCCACACTGTAAAACCTTAAAACAGAAACTGGCGTCCCACTCATAGAGTGGCTTGCATTACTTGATGAGATTGATCAGGAGAATATCATGGATTTTCTGTCCAGGATAGTTAAGTGTGTGGTGTAATGAGCAAGTTGATAGATTGGCTGCTGCCGCTCCTTTGAGTGGTGAGTATGTGTTGACAAAGCCGAAGTGGTGAAGGCCCTCTGAGATCAAGTAGACAGTGAAACAGAACAGACCAAGAACCCACACACTGACAGACTAACTCAGCGGGGGGAGGGGGGGGTACACAGGGGGTCTGGAAGATTTTCAACACTGCGGGAAAAAACAGGCAGACTTTTAATCAGGTTGCAACAGGTACTATTAACATATCAACTCTTCTCTGGCTACTGAAGAGGGAGATGGAGCATATGTGGGAATGCCCAGTGTGTGTCTGTGGGTCCACATGAAAATAAGTAATGACTGGGACAGGATAGGTAAAAACAACGGCTGGACAGGGTACGAGGCACTCAGGCAAGTTTTGCATGTGAGGCAATTTCAGTAAATGCATGGCCATTTCATTGGTAATGAAAGTGCTAAAACTGAGATGGTTGACTTGATCTCAACAGATATTGTGCTGTTTTTCTCTCTGCAGAACAGCTAGGCCCCCCTGAACCAGCTGGGAGCACTGCATAAAGCATGACTCTGAAGCTTCAATGACGATCCCCAAGGATCAATATAACAAACTGCACTGAAGAAAAACAGCAGCGGCAGACACAAAAATGAATGCGGCTTTTGGTCAATATTGTGGACAAGCAGGCTGACTGTTTGTAGTCACTGCAGGATTTTGCTTCTGACAAAAGTTGGCTATTGTACTTTCCTTTATCATCATCATTAAGTGCCTTGCGGACTGGCAGTTGGCATGGGTGATCATGCCTCTCCACAACTGCGTGTATCAGTTCAGGTGCTGACACCCTTCCATGCCATGACAAAAGGAGGTCAAGAATCTTCCCGCTCTGTTGCATTTCTTAGCTGCCCTAGGAATTCTAAGAATTCTACTGTAAAACCACATCTCTGAGGCCTCAAGATATTGGACTATCCTCCGAATAACGGTCCCAAATTATCGCTACTGCAGAGAGTATCTCCGGCGCCGCTACGCGCTGCGGGGACCAGGGCTAAACTAGATGGCTGGGACTCACGAGCAGCAGCTACCGCATCTTCTGCAGCTTCCTTCATTTTATTTGCTGGTGAGCCCCAGCCATCTAGTTTAGCCCCCTCCTCGCAGCACGTAGCTGCGCGGGAGATACCCTCGCGGTGGCAGTAGTCACCGGTCGTCCACAATTTACATTAGACTGAGACCCTGTTAGGGTATATTTTCAGCCTCAATAATTTGGGATTGTTATTTGGAGGATAGCCAGATACTGTTCGGCTAGTTTATTAATTGTCTAAAATGTACAGCTGGTTTTATACAGCATGCAAGAATTATTTTTCTTATCTCCAAATACACAGATTTTCCTCCAAATGTAGACTAAAATAATTGAGTTCCGTTGCCCAGCTACTGAGCTAACTGCATGGTGCTACTTCAGCTGCAGATTTCATGTGGAATGATTGTCAGCTGTACCCAATGTGGTTTGTGTTGGGAACTGCAGGTTCAGAACATGAGGAGTAGCCTGTTAGCAAACAACTGCTGACGCCTTATGCAATTAATCGCATGTGCAGCTACTGTTGTGCCTGGTTCCAACGACGATAAACTAGACTTCTAGTTCCAGACTGTTTGTGCTGTAAGTGTAACAGCTACCTTATGCATTTAAAGCATGTGTATACTACTGGTTTTGCTGAGACTGCTGTCTGTGTCAATTATTTCTGCAAGGGACGGGCATTCTGTGTGGTTTTTTACTGGCACAGGAATGGAGCAACTACGGGGTGACCTGTCTGCTATGAGATTGAATCTGTGATCACCTGATTTACCAAGCACATAATACTGCATTTAATACATCACCTGTTGCTGAATGTTTGTTGCCTTGTAAATTCCTGTTTGTTGATGAAGAATTCAAACCTGGAAGAAAAAGATAATTTAATCATACAGAACCCCTCTGGAATGTTGAATTAAGACATCAGCACATTCAAATAAGCACTCTGTGTCCATCTTGTGCAGCAAGTGCAGAGTTCCAATTTTGACTGAGTGTCGGTCCTATCCCCTGGTCAGTCCTCTGAGCACCATTCTCCCCAGACCCTGATCTATTTGTGCCTCTACACTGTTCATCTGCTCCCAAAGGACCATTACATCTAGCCTGTCATGCACTAATTCACCCCCAAGCAATGCAGAACCAGCCTGTTCATCAACCACCACGTCTGCTGCAGCATCTGCAGAAAATATCCAAAGGACATTAACTACTTAGGACTTCTGAAGTGATGCTTGCCATCTGAATCCCTGTGGAGGTTATAGGTTCTATCTCAGACTCCATGCTTTACCAGTACTGGTGTTTTTGTGATTCGGGGAGAGGGATGGTTGTTGGAGCTACAGTGTTCATGCTTTGTGAAACACTTTCAATGTCAATCAGACATGCTCTGTGCAGAGTGACGCATGGCTTCAGAGGTCCCAAGCATTCTTGGATAATTTCTCCAGGCATGCAGGAGTGTTGGGAAACGAACAGGCTGAGAGAGTGTTTCTGCTAATGGGTGGTGAATGTCTGCATGACAAGCTAGATGGGTCAGGGCATTTGGAAGCAGGTCAACCATGCAGAGGCAAGAATCCATCATTATGGTCTACAGCAGTGGCTCCTAATCTTGCTAATGCTGCGAAAAAATTGTAAGGCTCTTACTGTCATCTGGGCTAAGTAAATATTAAAATGAATGCTCTTACTTTCATTTGGACTATGTAATAATTAATATGAGTGGTTCTTTCTTTCATCTAGGCTATGCAAACATCAAAATGAGTCGCTTTGACTTTCACCTGAGCTTTGAAATAAATAAAATGAGTGGCTCCTAATTTCATCTGAGCTATGTAAGAATCAGTGGGCGGACTTTTTTCAAAAATATGCTTGGCTCCCAGGTTGACCCAGCCTTGATTGTGTACCTGGTACAGTCCTGGAAAGTAAAGGTGGCCAGTGTGATTCTGACCACATCACCTACCAAGTACCATATGTTCTATAAAATATAGGTCTAGCCCTATATACCTAATAAAGACATGGGAAAGGGGCCTTTACTTTTTTTTTTAATGTAAGAATCCACATGAGTGCTTCTGACTTTTACCTGTACTACCTAAAGATAACACTAGTCAACTACCAACATGTGCCAGAAATGAACAACTAATTCTGGTGTGCTGAAAATGAAAATGACATTAACAAATGTTGACTGGTTCTAGTATTCAAGATATATGCTACTATTTTATTTAATAACATATGGCACAACTGTTGTGAGCGATTGTATAATAATCATTACTAATGATCAATTAAGATGTACAAAACAATGTTTTCCATTAATGAATTTAAATAATGTGGATACAAACAATACATTGCACAATTTATTGCCAGGCATTTTTTGCTGTATCTCATCAGGTGAGAATCGCCGAAGCCATAACAATAAAAATGAACAACCCCCTAATTTATAAGCAGACATAATTTATCGCACATTTGAAGTTACCCTGGTAGTCACGTGACTTCGGTGAGCTTTCGGCGGCCATGAAACAGAGACATGGCATCGAAGAAACTATTCGCATTTCAGTTGAATTTATTCAGTTTTGTGCTTTATTTTATGTTGATTAACTCTGTAGTAACGCACCTGATGAGATACAGTGAAATATGTTTGGCAATAAATTGGGCAATGTATTGAAAGGGCCTCTAGCTGGCTTCGGACGCAACGCAACAACGTAGGGGACGGGCCTCGGTGAGCTGGTCCGGGTCTCTAGTGGAAAAGGGTTTCTCACCCCTTGAGAGTCCATCGTGTCCGAATTGTCTGCCAGTGTTCCTCTGCCACCTGCTAACAAAAGTCCAACATGTGTCCGGTAAACCAAACATAAGCTTGTCGCTCGGTCGTCCAGGCATGCTGACTGCTTTAATTAGGCTGCCGCGCCGACTTCTTATCTCACAGTACCTTCTGCAAAACCACCAAGTCGTCTTGTCTCTGGCCGAAAGTAAAACACCATCCGGTAATCCCGTGCAGCAGGGAACCAGCCCTGAGCTTCATGAACTCAGGAGGGCCCACCTCCGAATGCGTCTAGGAATCGTGGGCCGAAACGCGTGTCGACGAGGATAATTTCTACTGACGACTGGTAGATCCCTGCTGTACTTGCTCCCTGTGAGTTTATTCCCTATCCGCATTATTGAAATTAAGATGTCATTAGAAATTGATGATGCAGTCCTAACTATGTGGCTCGTAATGTCATCCAAACTATATCTAAAATTAATATGAGTCGCTTTTTAATATTTGAAGTAAATAAAAATCTGTGTGGTTGTTTTACCCTCATCCAAACTATTGAGAGAACCAAAAGCATTGTTTGTATCTGTCCCATCCTTCTCAGAGTAGCTGGAATCACTGTTGCTGTCAACACTAGAGTTCTGTAACACAAGATCATGAATAAAGGAAGCGTTTAGTGCTACACATTCCTGACAAAACACTGTTAACTCTTTAAGGTCCAAACTACGGTGTGAGCGTTGTTTGAAAAGATCCGTTTTGCCCAAACAACGGTGTCATCGTCAATCGTGTATCCCTTTCATTTTGCTTCGCACACGGCTTCGTACTAGTTTCTAATGTTTGGAGGTACGATTAAACTTTTCAGGGAAAGTCACTCTTTCACAATCCTTTTTGTTTCATTTCCTGGACTAAACCACATGTGGATAATTTGAGAGAAAAAAAACAGCTAGATTTTTTCAACAGTTTATTTCTTAAGTTCGTTTTTGAGTGCCATGAATACCAATGTTCCGTCAACAAGTACAGGTCGCAGAATGCGTCTTTCTGCAGCCGAAGCTCTGAAATTGTTTTAGTCAGATGTTTTTAATTGTGATAATGATAATA